TAATAAATATTAGGGATGTAACGATACCAAAAACTCACGTTACGATAATATTGCGATAAAAAGTCCACGGTACGATATTTATCGCGATATTGAAAAATAAAGAACTTTTTTTTTGTACTTGAATTTATTTCTTTATTAAATAATAAATCTGATTTGTACAGCATTTTATTAGGATAGTAGTATTTTAAAGTGTCAACAATATAATGATCAGACCCTGCAATAGAATAAATCAAGTTTCACTTTAGTTTTTCAAGTAACTCAACTCTAACTCACTCACTCAGCATCATCAAGGTTATCTTTTAGGAAGATGAGCATGTCCACATTTCCAGGTAGAAGCTGGGATGTTTGGGCGTTTACAATATCCCCTGCTGTGGAAACAACTCTCTTGCTTTGTACTGATGTTGCTCTGACAGAGAGATATGCTTTGGCCATGGGTGACAGCAGTGAGTCAAACTGTGCATTGTCTCTCCACCACTTCAAAAACAATACAGTTGTTGCCAAGAAGGTGAGGCTTATTGACAGGTCGAGATATAAATATACTGTTGGTACTTGTCAATGTCTCTAGGTATGTACATGTAGCCCTGTAAATACCATGTCCTTTTGTGTTCTGTTGTTTTAGTAACCTACTTGCTGCCATGTTGGACAGGTCTCCCTTGAAAAAGAGATCGATGATCTCAATGGGACCACCTGGTTGAATAAAGGTTTAAAAAAAATATATATATTTTAAAAAATGGCGGTAGATTTTGTCAGTCTCACGACGGTATTGAGACATTTATTTACCGCGATATTCGATATATCGTTACATCCCAAGTAAATATAACTCAGGATTTCAAAGCATCATAATTACCTCCATGAGCTGAGAGTCACCGGATAAGATTTTTCTAGGTAGCTTTAATTTGTGTTCAATCAAAACACGAAAAGAATATTTTGGGATTGCTGACCTACAATTATTTTTGAAAATGGTAATGAGGGAAATTAAAGAGAGCTTAGAGTTAAACATATTATATGAACCACAAAGGTTGATTTTAGGGAATGTACCTTCAGGGGGAATTGGAAAAGACAAGATCTATATGCTCAGAGCTCTGGTATTAATAGCCCATAAAATGATAACTATAAACTGGCTCAAGCCTCACCCCCCAACTCTGGACCAATGGACACAAAGACTTAAGGTTGTAAACTCTATGGAAAATGTAACATCGAAACTACAACTCAAGATGGAAGTGTATTTAGAGAAATGGTCACCTGTTGTAAGGTATTTGGCAAAGTGAATATATTGTAAGCCTTTTTTTATATTTCTTATGCTTTGATGATAGTACGTTTTGATTATACATATTTGTATATAACAGTATGATATTGTATGTAACATGTTGTGTGAGACTCACTGTCAAGGAACTTGAACGTGAAAAAAAAAAAAAATAAGGCTATTATGCATTTTAAAATAACAATAATAAATGCAACTGTTTTCGTTTCAGACAATCTGGAGCGCATAGTGGAGATCGCCAAACTGAGGGCCATGCAGAAGAAAGCTCGTTTTGCCAAGTTGAAGATCTGCGTGTACAAAGAGGAGATGCCCATCACGCCGTACGAGCGTCCGCTGTTTAACTCTCTGCGTTTCGAGCGCTCGGACAGCGAGGCCAAGCTGTTCGAGCATCACTGCGAGGTGGACGTTTCCTTCGGGCCCTGGGAGGCGGTGGCGGACGTTTACGACCTGCTGCACTGCATCGTGAGCGACCTGTCGGAGCGCGGCATCACGGCGGAGCAGCAGTGCATCGGCGTCTGTGACAAACACCTGATCAACCACTACTACTGCAAGAGGCCCATCTACGAGTTCAAGATCACGTGGTGGTGAGGCTGCAGGGACTCAGAGCGCGGATGGGACCAAAGGGCAACAAGAGAGGATGTTCGATTTTTACTATGACTCGGCCGATATTGGTTTTTGTATTGAAGTCGCAAATATTTTGTACTGATATCTTAAAATGTGACCCTTTTTTAAAACCAACATGTAAGTATTCCCCAAAAATAATCTAATTTATTATTTAAGAAAACAAACAATCTCAGTTTTTATTTATTATGACACCTAGCTATTATTAATGTGGTCTTATACAACAATCATGAATCAAGAACTGAAAAAGTTACCTTCATGAAGGAGGAGTTATTTCAAGACTAGTTTTGATATCGCCGATATTTTTGAGCTGATATCCGTAAAATGTGACCCTTTTGAAAACCAATATGTAAGTATTCTGCGCTTAATGAAAACATATTCTAATTTATTATGAAGAAATAAGTGAAGAAAACAAACAATCTCAGTTGTGATTTATTATGACACCTAGTTATTATTAAGTAAGGGATAGTGTGCAGCGAGGCGGTCATTACGGGGAAAAGAACACCCGACATGAAGGTGTTCCTTTCCCCATAATGACCAAGTCGCTGCACACTATCCCGCTTATCACACGGCCACATTCTCAACAAAGTAACGATATGACTCCCAATATTAATTGAAATGTTTTTATTGATTCAAAAAATAGTAGGCTATTATTTATTTAAACTGACATGCATCCGCTAAGAAAAATAGTCCGTTGTTACCGTTTGAACTACGTAGCAACGGCAGGAACTGCTTCTACAGTATAGCGTTTTTTTAGGAGCTTTTTTATTACAGATTTGAAAACATCGCTGCTTGCTTTAAAAGTAGCACAATTCATTAAGTCAAACCTTGTGAAGTATCTAGATATCCCTGCCCTAATGCAAAAGTAACTGCACACTGAATATGTGTCGCCGTCTGATGTCTATGTCTGGACCGCTGCGTAAAAAGGAGGGTTTCTGCCCCGTTACTTCTCCGCTGTTTTCTTCTCCCAGTTCGAAAAGCAAAACAGTTAAATCGACCGGACTTCTTTGTGCAGATGTGAGCGTCCTTAACAACGGTCAATAAGTCCTTGACAGTGGTCTGTCTGTTCTGGATTAACAACGTGTCACTTGACCAATCAGAATCGAGTATTCAACTAAGCCATCTAATAATGTGGTCTAATACAGCAGTCCTGCATTAAATCATGACTCAAGAACTGAAAAACGTACCTTCATAATGGAAGAGTTATTGCACTAGCTTTATTTAGTTTTGATATTGCCAATATGTTGTGCTGATATCTTGAAATGTGACCCCTTCTATTCATGGTTTAACATCTTAGTATCTTCCATTTCCCCAAAATATTAAGATTTTATTGTAGATCCAAGTAAAAAAGCACGACCAATCATCTGAGCCGGCCCGGCTAAAATACCTGGATGGCCTACCTGCCTGTCAGCCTTCCATCTGTGCACAAACTTATCTCGTGCCCTCATTGGTCATGTGCACGTTCGTGTGTGTTGGAGGAGGGGCTCTGTGAGGAAGTCTGAAGGAAGGGGCAGATTTCTTCCGGCTGCATATTTTCAAATTCTAGTGCACTCGAGCTGGTTTCTCCATTCTTACCTACCCTACCTTTAAGTAGTTAAAGCGAATGCTTTCTAATGAAAGATCCTGCAGTAAATCCTAGAAAGAAATGAAATGCTAACCTTCATAAAGGTTAAGTGTAGGACTTGTCGTATTAAGACTGCATTCGTTTTGATGAAAGTTAAGTAGCAGCCCTTAAAAATATAAAATCTTCGGACCTCCAGCGGTTTAATTTCTCACTTGAGCGTAGTGATGTGCAGACCATCACTTTAAGGTGTGGTTACACGTCTAAAAAATACATGTGACCACACCCAACTTCTCCTGGCTTTCCCTAAAGGCTAAACTAACATGTCATCTATTCACCTCTCCAGATCAAAAGGACCTTGTGCTAAATATTGAATATTGTAAGTAGGTAAAGTCTGATCTGTATTTTCAGGACTAAGTTATGCAGATGAACTGTGAGCCTGTTCCTTTTTTGGATAAACAGAGTATATTTTAATTATGCAACCTCCTGAGGAGCGTGTTTTTAAAGATGTGAGAAGGTTGGGTGGTATCCATTTTATCAGTCTTCACATTTGACTCTTAATTTAAATTGTAGAGAATTAAAGGTAGCTGCAGTGTTTGCACTCTAATGCAGATGTGATGCAGTTGTTTACACATTCTTTCATTTCTTTGAACATGTATATTTATTATTGTCACGGAGATAATCAATAGTTATTCCTATTTAATGTCAACTCTCGTTCCACATGTTTTGTTAACATCACCACGTTAAGAAAACCCACCGAAGCGTTGAAGTAGAGTCAGAGCTAAGTTAAATGTTATTTCCTACTGTACTTGATAATGAAGCACCTTGTGATTGTAACCAATACACTATTTACTTTTTTACCTCAAGTGAGAGAATCCTTCAGACAGCGATAGAAAGCATCGTCGCCGACATCCGTCATTTAATAGCTTGTTTTGTTGTAATTTAAACAAATGAATGCAGAAGTGATGCAACACAACTAATCTGGGTTTACACTTGTATGTATTGCAATTGTTTTAATTGTTATTTATCTGTTTCTGTTAGCTTCTAGGAAGCTATAGTTCTACAGTATTATTTTAGGTTTGTTTGCAGTGAAAAAAGGAATGCCATTTTCTTTTTTTATTTATGGTGAAAGTAAAAAAACAACTGATAAATGATTTCACAGTGTGTCGTTTATTTACAGAAGCTTCTGGAAGATTTTACACAAAGTTAATGATCTGTGTCACCGTGAAATAATCAGAGAGAGCTTAGCGAAACCGATTGATTAACGGCGTCCATCTTTGAATGTCGGTCAGAAATAAAGAAGCAGTTTGGAGAAGATCAGCACCACGGAGAGCTCCACCACGAGACCCCTGTTCTCTTGATTTATTATTATGTTCTAACAGAACTAAATACTGTAGGTATAACGTATTATTTATAAATATATATTTTTTTTTTTATACTTAATTTCAGTATTTCTGATAATGTCCTTTTAAGTATATTACTTTTAGGTTTAAAACCTAGTAGATTACGTTGTAAACACAGTATAAGAAAATAAAATGACCAGAAAAGGATTTGCATTTTAAGAATAGAGTCGTGATGTCTAATAATAAACTGAACGTAATATAGTCTTTAGAAATAATGTAGTTTTGTATTCTTATGATTCTTAATGTGTGTGTGTGTGTGTGTGTGTGTGTGTGTGTGTGTGTGTGTGTGTGTGTGTGTGTGTGTGTGTGTGTGTGTGTGTGTGTGTGTGTGTGTGTGTTTTCCAT